GACTCCACATACCATCACTGGGTTCCGTCAGTCCCTTTCATTTTAACCATCCTAGCAACAATTCTAGCAATAGTCCACTGTGGTTTAATTTACATCTTTCTAGACTCATGAGGTTTGGGCATCTTTTCACAGGCTTATTGGTCGCTTGGATGTCCAAATGTATAAAGTAACTGCTCGAGTCTCTTTCTCATTTTTCTACTAAGTTGTCTATTTTTTAATTGCCTTGTTCAATTCTTTATGTATTTTGGGTAAAAACCCTGCATCGGTTATGTGCAATAGATACCATGTCCTGCCGTGTGGGTTTTTATTCTGTTACTTGTGTTTATCAGCCAATTCATGAATGTTGGCTGATTTCCCTGCAAACTTTTTGTCTGTTCAGCAAACACTATACAGAATTTATTATGTGCCAGTCCTGTGTTAAGCACTTTACATGGATTAACTCATTCAATCTACAAACAATCCATCAAGTATACACTCTTAATACCCCCATTTCACAGGTGAAACAGTTGAAGAAAGGGAGGGGCAGTAACCTGCCCAAGGCCTTCTAGCAGAGGCAGGCCTCGAACCCAGACTGTCTGGCTTCACAATCCACACCATTAGTATCCATGCAGCACTACTTCTCCCAGGCTTCTAACTGTCCAAACTCTATCGATGGGAATTCTTTGAAGCTTGGTTCCTGATGCAGTCTGGGGAGGAGTTTCACTTGGCCAGGAGCCTATGGCACTACACTCCCAACTCCAACTTGAAATAAGTTGCCTGCGGTTTTTCAGATCCAATAAAGACATCAATTCAGGGTCCACTAAACCCCAGTCAGTCAGTCCGCAGCTAGGGATTCTCGGGACTTTCTTTTTCCTGTCTTTCCTTCACTCCTTCCTTAAGAGCTCAACCCTTTTTGTATCCTGTCTTTGTGCAAGGCAGTCTCAATCGTGATTCCTCACCATGTGTGGGGCCTAAGACTTCTTCCTAGAAATGCCTATTTATCATTGTACTACTGACATCTGGGCCACCAGAATCCAGAGATGTCCCAGACTTCCTGGACTCAGGCTGCTGCCCAGCCCTGCCAGCAGGGCATTCTGTGCTCTTGCAGGCTCATCAATCCTTTGCATTTTCCTTGGCAGTCCACCCTACTGCCAAAAAGGAAAGCCACAGGATTTTGACGTTATCATAGAAATCACTGTGGAAGCCAGTGTTCCCCCAGGCTCTTGAGCCAGGAGCTGCTAGCTGACTTCTAAGAAGGTTGCCAAAAATACAAGGCAAAGCCCTGTGGGTAAAGGAGAAAATTCCAGTAGGAGGGAAAGCCAGTTCGCAGAAGGGACAGTTTCCCAGCTCCTGTGACGAGAGCAGAGGTGGGGCCTTGGTACACCTGAGGAAGTGAAAAGGAGCTAACCCAATTGTTACTCCAAGTGTTCCTTCTAGATGGGACAGGGCTCTGTCTGCCATCAGAAAAGGTCACGTGGGAGGCTGGACACAGTGGCTCATGCCTGTCATCCCAGCACTTTGGGAGGCCAAGGCAGGAGGATTGCTTGAGGCTAGGAGTTTGAGATCAGCCTGGGAAACAGAGTGAGACTCCATCTCTACAAAAAAATAAAAACATATTAGCTGGGTATGGTGGCACACACCTGTGGTCCCAGCTACTTGGGAGGCTGAAGTGAGCTCTAATTGTTTCACTGTACTCCAGCCTGGAGGACAGGAAAATACCCTGTCACTTTTAAAAAAAACCAAGTCAAGTGGGGTTGTTCTCTAGCAACACATTTTGGTCCTCGAAACTATATTAATGTTGGCCCTTTTAAGGCTTTAGGGGATTCTGAAATCACTCAGCTACTGACTTCTCACTATTTCTTGGAGTTGCTCCTTCTCTATCATTCTCCATTAACATTAATGGAAAAAGTGAAGTTGGAATAATCATCTTCTGTCCTAGATTGTATTTGTGTTGGAAAACTGGGAGAGGAGAGGCCCAATTCTGTCATTAAATATGTTAGAACAGACACCTCAGTCACACGGAGTTTCCCTTCTATGTGCCCACCATAACAGGCGCTGGAGGTTGACACTGAAGGCCATTCTAGCAGTGGCAGTGCTTTTCCAGGCTGCTGCCCCCAACCAAGGACTCAAGGCAGGGAAGACACAGGCTCCCAGGTATTTGAGGAGGGGACTGCCTCTTGCTATGCACAAAGTCAAAGAGTTTTCAGTGAGGTAGGCCTGGCAGCTCCTAGGAGCTTCCATTGTGAAGTGGCAGGTCACAGGTTACTGGTCAACCAAGGACTCAAGGCAGGGAAGACACAGGCTCCCGGGTATTTGAGGAGGGGACTGCCTCTTGCTATGCACAAAGTCAAAGAGTTTTCAGTGAGGTAGGCCTGGCAGCTCCTAGGAGCTTCCATTGTGAAGTGGCAGGTCACAGGTTACTGGTCATCAGGGTGTGACCCTACAAGTCAAAGACATTAATTGACCCCCACAACAGCAGGAGGGGGTATAGCTCAGGGGTAGAGCATTGGACTGCAAACCAACAGGTGTCCGGTTCAATTCCAGATACCCCCTCCGCATTTTCAATTTTGACATTTTAAATAGGCGCCTATATTTTAACCTATTAGACACTACGGTAAAGATTTTTTTCCAGAACAAGAAAATGGTGAGGATAGACTGTGGTGGTTCTAAACTCCAGATATAAATTAGAATCACTTGAAGAGTCCATACAAGTGCCATTTCCCAGGCCCCACCCCAGACCAATTAAATCAGAACTTGTGGGGTGGGGTCCAGGCAGGTGAAAGCTCCCCAGGATGCTCTAGACCATAGCTAAGGGCAAGACCCCACTTTAGCAGAGCTTCCAGGAAGACTCCTTAGCCTAAGGCTGCCTTGTTCCCACTCTGCGTCTTCTTATCCCTCCTTATGCAAACCCAGAATATCTAGAGAAAGGTCTCAGTTAATTGGGAAAGTATATTTTGCAAAGGCTGTGGATGCATGTCTGTGACACTGCCTCAGGCAGTCCTGACAACCTGTGCCCAAGGTGGCAGGGGCACAGCTTGCTTTTATACACTTTAGGGACACATGAGATATCAATCAATATGTGTAAGATACACACTTGCTCAGTCCAGAAAGGTGGAACAAATCCAGGTGAAGGCAGGACAACTGCAAACTGAGAGGGGACTTCCAGGTCACAGGTATATAAGACAAACGGTTGTATTCTTTTGCATTTCTGATGAGCCTCTCTAAAGGAGGCAATCAGATACAGATCTATCTGTCAGCAGAGGGGTGACTTTGAATAAAATGGGAGGCAGGTTTGCCCTAAGCGGTTCTCAGCCTGACTTTTCCCTTTAGTGATCTGGGGGCCCCAAGATGGATTTTCCTTTCACACTTGTGTGTACAGCACTTAAAACTGGACCAGAAGAGCATCTTCCAAGAAAAAATGCTGCTTTAGCATTTCCTAGCTGTCTTAATTTTTCAACTTCTCGATCTAGACATTCTCCCTGGGAGGCGGGTATTGTTCTCTATTTCCAAGATAAACCACCAGGATCTCTGGCTCAGTGAGTGAGCCCTTATGAGGCCAAGTTTGCAGAGGATGAAATGTCAACAGGTGAAAGTATATAGTTCCATATTGTGTTTAGATGTTCCATCAAAGGCAATTTTACATCATATTTAAGCTTTAAAAGCAAACTTCTGCAGAAAGGATCACTCATTTATATCAACCATCTCAAAAACTAAAGGGTGGGATGGTATTGCATGCTTTGGAGAACAAACGGCTTTTTTGGTACAAAATCTCAAAATTCATGGAGGTTCAGAAATACAGCATAGAATTCACAAGCACAATTCATGACTTTTAGTATCCCTTACAGTAATCCTATTTCATGAACCTTTTTAAAAACTAACTACATTTAATAATTCTTCAAATTTATATAAAAGCAACAGAAGTTTCTATTTAAGATTAATTGAAAACAGGTTATTTCTGTTCAGATATACTTTAAACACTAAACTAAACACAGCAAACAAAACAGGTTCTTGTAATAAAACTATTTGAAAGTAAGGAAGTCTTACTATCTCTACACTGAATGGCAGGAAAACACAGCAGAGAAGTAGGCACTGAAGACAGAGCCTGGTCAAGTGTAGTGTCACTTGAGGCTCTGTCTAATTTGATCATTTAGCAAATGGCGCTTTGCTCTACTCTCCCGAGTTGAAAATATTCTGTATCTTGTGACCTTCCTTATTAGTATAAGATGTAGTGGCCTGAACACAACTCTTGTTTTCAATGATGTGCTTCATAATTTCCTATTCATTAAAGCAGATTCCTTTTGTTAACAAGAGATGTGAACTTTTTATTTCATACTTTTTATTCCCCTTCAAAAAGTGGCATTGGTGCCTCAAAGGATAAATGTTTGAGGGGATGGATACCCCATTCCCCATGATGTGCTGATTTTACATTGCATGCCAGTTTCGCAACAGCTCATGTACCTTGTAAATATACACACCCAGTATGTACCCACAAACACTTACATTTCTTAAGAAGTGGCTTCTGCTGTTCCGGTTTCACAAACGCTTAGCGCTTTGGCCTAGAACTTGGGTACTTGACCCTTTCCTGTCCCTGTCCTCCAGATGAGATGCTAATGTGGTCACCCTTTGGCATGATGGAATGAAAGCCAAGCCAGCCAGACAGCCAGGAAGGAGAAATCAGCTTCTTTTTTTTTTTTCAGACAGAGTTTCCCTCTTGTTGCCCAGGCTGGAGTGCAATGGCATGATCTCGGCTCACTGCAACCTCTGCCTCCCAGGTTCAAGAGATTCTCCTGCCTCAGTCTCCCGAGTAGCTGAGATTACAGGCATGTGCCACCACACTCAGGTAAATTTTTTTTTTTTTTGTATTTTGAGTAGAGATAGAGTTTCTCCAGGTTAGTCAGGGTGGTCTCGAACTCCCAATCTCAGGTGATCTATCCACCTCGACCTCAGAAAGTGCTGGGATTATAGGTGTGAGCCACCAGGCCCGGCCGAAATCAGTTTCTTGAACCTATGGAAAGCCATACCTGGAGCACCTAGCTGTGGACTTTTAAGCGGCAGATAAGGAAGCTTCTGGTTGGTTTCTTTCCATTTTGCTTTAACTGTTCAGCATTCATAGCCAAACCTGATCATCACTCAAACTATTCCCTTTCAAGATCTGAAAATCAGAAAAGTCCTTTAATGGTACCTTGTCTGATGTTTACCTGTTCTCCATACTGTTACTGAAAATGGTTCATTATTCTCATTCTGACCTTAATCTTGTACTTCTCTCTCTCTTTCTACGACCCCAGAGCCACCTTGGGGTTCAGCTATCTGCCCGCCCATTATGGACCCCATGTTTGGCCTCTCAGTCATGATGCTAGCTCCTCTGAGAGCTTGGCCGGTGGTCTGTTTACCTTCCCCTTCTGCATCTGGGGATACACACACCTTTGGTCTTTCCTACCTTTGCTCTGGGGTAGCCAGTTCTTACAGAAGAAAACTGTAGACACAGAAAAATGGTCCCATTGCAAATCTACACCATTCTGACCTCAACCAGCATCTCTCTGCTAATGAGCAACGACCGTATTCCTTTCTAATTCAACCCTTCTCCATTTCCCACAATCCTGCTTCACGCTTTGCTCTTATTCCCAAGTAATGAGTCCCACCCTATCTCTATTCTCTTTAGACGACCTATTTTCTACCTGACTTAGAAGACCATGGCCGTGGAGGCCCCTCAGCATCCCCTGCTGCTCTGCACCTTCACCTTCTCCTCATCCCCTCCTGGCTAAGAGACAAAGTCTGGTTTTAACCAATTCCCTGCCAATGTATATTTAGATGATCTCCAGTGTTTCGCTGCGAGGAATTCAAAACCACTGTGATGAACATCTGCTTACATGTGTCTTCATACACTTTTATGAATACTTCTGAAGGGTAAATTCCTAGAAGTGGTACTCTGTAGAGTACCATCTTTTTAATGTTTTTTTTTTTCTTTTATCTTAGGTACAGGGGTACACATGCAGGTCATATAGGTAAACTCATGCCACAGGGATCTGATTATTTCATCAGCCACATACTATGCATATAGTGGCTGATCTTCTCTCCTTCCACTGTCCACCCTCAGGTAGGTGCCAGTGTGTGGTGTTCTGCTGTGTCCACATGTTCTCATTATTTACCTCCCACTTCGAAGTGAGAACATGTGGCATTTGGTTTTCTCCTCCTCATTAGTTTGCTAAGGATAACGCCCTGCAGCTCCATCCATGTTGCTCCAAAGGACATGATCTCATTCTTTTCTGTGGCTGCACAGTGTTCCACGGTGTATATGTGCCACACTTTCAAAAGGCTGAGTAGTATTTGTTGAGTAACTTTTTTTTTTAACAAAAGCAATTTGCTTTTCACTTGACAAATTATCACAAACAGTATTCTACATCAAATACAAGCCTCCAGACACAGACTCTGGGTCTCCTTTCGGTGCAGGGGAAGGTGGTGTCACCCAGTTAGAGTTCTGTCCCCAGCCCAGCACACCTGGCATGATGCTCGACAGCTACTGTCAGAGGATTATCTGGATGACTTGAAGGGTCTCTCCAGTCATAAAGCTCAACCAGGCCACCAGCGTGTCCTCAGCCAGGTGTTCACAGAAGGGATGGAGACAGAAGTAATAGTGACAGGAGGCCAGAGTTCAGAGAAACAGAACTGGATTGGACATCCCAATCGGCAGAGCTGGGTCTTGCTCTTGGTGTGCTGGGGACACATGAAAAGGGGGTGAATTACACTATCCTCTTACCACTGGGGGTATAGCTCAGGGGTAGAGCATTTGACTGCAGATCAAGAGGTCCCTGGTTCAAATCCAGGTGCCCCCTACCTGTTTTACTTTTAGTCATCAAAGTGGGTCCTGGGTCATAAGCTCCTCCCGATCCACCATGGAAAAAAATAACACAGCATATCTAATCTCAGACCCACAGTATCTCCGAAGTGCTGACTCAATTCCTCAGGTGATTTTATGAACTTTTTTTTTTTTTTTTTTGAGACGGAGTTTCACTCTTGTTACCCAGGCTGGAGTGCAATGGCGCGATCTCAGCTCACCACAACCTCCACCTCCTGGGTTCAGGCAATTCTCCTGCCTCAGCCTCCTGGGTAGCTGGGATTACAGGCACGCGCCACCATGCCCAGCTGATTTTTTGTATCTTTAGTAGAGACAGGGTTTCACCATGTTGATCAGGATGGTCTCGGTCTCTTTACCTCGTGATCCACCCGCCTTGGCCTCCCAAAGTGCGATTTTATGAACTTCAAGTTTGTGAGGCACAGACCCCTGCCTTCTGCAGCCCTCTGAGTAGCACTCCAGCACTTCCTCAGAGTTGTCGGGACTCTCCCCAGGCACATCCATGTGATCCCCAAGAGAGGGCTGGGCCATGTCTCTAAATCCTGCTGTATTCTCCACAGCACCCAGCTTGTGCTGAGGCACACAACTACATGAGCCAGCGGCAGCCTCATGTCCACCTCCTCCGGGCATGAGAAATCTAATGAGCTTAGATTTGGGAGCTCAGAGTGCCAAATCCTGGACTTTGGCTCCGTGTTCTGGATTTCCCACCTGGGGGTGCTGCAGACTCAGGACCAGAGGAGGACGATGGAGGAAGTCTGCTGGGGCTTCCTAGAGAACTGACCTGACCTTACCGGCCTCTTTTCTCTCCATGCAGACAGATACAGATCATGGGCCCTGCAAGGAAAAGGAAGCTGGAGTCAGATTCCAAAATTGGTAAGCAAAAATAAGAACAGGTAAAAAGCAACCCAACTGGAACCTTTTAGTCAGTCATCTAAGGCTCATCTCAGTATTATCTGATGAACACCTTGCAGTCTGTAGCCTTTTGGGTGAGAGTGGCACACCACGGACAGTAACTGCGGTCTCTCAAGCCCCCTCTGATGGTGGTGGTAGCTAAACAAAGCAAGATGCAGGATGTGGTCTTCCCTGGGATATTCTGATGCTCCCCAGAATACTGAACCTCCAGAAACTTCACAGATGCAGTAGACAACCAATAATCCCAAAATTATGTGGCTATTTCCCACTCCACAATGCAGTTTCCAGGCAAATGGCTGAAGGACCTATTAGGGGAAATCTGGCAGGAAGATTCACAGGTCATCACTGGGTATTTGGTAGTAACAATCTCAAAAACTAAAGGACATGATGGCTTTCTATGCTTTGGAGAATGAACAGTGTTTTTGATACAAAATCTCAAAATTCATGGAGGTTCAGCAATACAGCATAGAATTCGGAAGTACAATTCATGATTTTTAGTATCCCTCACACTAATCCTGTTTTATGAACCTTTTCCAAAACTACCTAAAACATTTAATAATTCTTCAAATTTATATAAACAACTGAAGTTTCTGTTTTAGATAGGTTAAAAACAGGCTCTTGTAATGTTTTAGATAGGTTAAAAACAGGCTATGTGACAGCAAGAGAGTCTTACTATCTCTACCTTGAATGGCAGGAAAACACAACAAAGAAGGCATTAAAGATACAGCCTGGTCAAGTGTGGTGTCACTTGAGGCTCTGTCTCATTTGATCGTTTAGCAAACGGTGCTTTGCTCTACTCCCTGAGATGAAAATATCCTGTGTCTTCTGACCTTCTTTATAAGAGACAGGAGCCTGAAAAACAGGACTTCCTTAATCTTCAATGATGTACTTCATAAACTCCTTTTCAACAAAGCGGATTCCTTTTGATTCATTTAGTACTTGTTTTCCCCTCCAAAAAGTGGCACTGGTAACTCAAAGAATAAATGCTAGAGGGGATGGAAACCCCATACTCCATGATGTGCTTATTTCCCGTTGCATGCCTGTTTCACAACAGCTCATATACCCTGTAAATATACACACCCAGTATGTACCCACAAAATCTTGAATGTTTTAAGACATGGTTTCTGCTGTTCCAGTTTCACAAACACTTAAGAGTTTGGCCTGGAACTTGGGTGCTTGCTCTTTCCCGTCCCGCCCTCGAATGTTTTCTGATAGTGCAAATGGTCTCTCGGGGCAGCGTCCTTCCTGTATCCCCACTACTGTTTCAGCTCCTCCACCCAAGCCCACCAGCCCTCTAGCTGCTCTGTAAACACTCTCCTTCCTCCTGAACCTTTCCCTGCAACTCTTCCTTGTTATCCCTCCTTGCAGACCTGAAGGCCACCTTCCCTGAAGCCATCCTTCCCCTTCAACCTCTGCACAGAGAGGCCACCTTCACCCTCCCAGCCTCAGTCTACTCATTGCCTCCAGATGCTACCATCCCACCACACTTCTCTCTCAGAGCCATCTCGTTCTCAGAGCGTGGGCTCTCCTCTCCCCATTGATGTCTTCTCTGATATTTGGGACTCCACAAACTTAGAGGAAATTTTTAGAACCAGACTAACAATCATATTTTCCTCACCTCCCTCTGCCTTCATCCTCAGGAATGTCAAACTGCAAGGCAATGTGCTTCCAATGCAATGACCTCATGAGATTTCCATCTTCCTGGTTTTAGGAATGTTCACAAACTCCACTCACTGTGCCTCTCAAGAGCTGTGGTGAGGCAGAGGTTCAGAGTTTTCCACCAGTGCCTTCTACCCTCCTTCTTGGTTATTAGCTGGGTATGCAGCTTCCCAGAAGAAGTGCACTCCCCAGATGCCCTTGGAGCTGTGAGGCCACAGGCATAAGGCTGGTCAATGAGATGTAGGTGAAAGGGATGCATGTTCTTACATGGAGACGCTTGTCTTTTCCTCCTTCCCGCTGGCTGGGAGGTAGACACACTACTGTGGGCAATGGCATGCTGGGATGATAGCCAAGCCGACCAGACAGGCAAAAAGAAGAAATTGGGTTCCTGACCCAATGGAGTGCCATGCCCGGACCACCTGGTTGTGTGCACTTTTATGTGGCAGAAAAGGAAGCTTCTGGTTTGTTTGGGTTTTGCTTTAATCCTTTGTCATTTTGGGTGTTCAGCATTCATAGCCAAACCTGATTATCACTCAAGCTATTCTCTTTCAAGATCTTAGAATCAGAGAAGTCCTTTTATGACACCTCTTCTGTTGTTTACCTGTTTTCCTTACCATTACTGAAAATGGTTCATTATCCTCATCTTGACCTTAATCTTATCCGCCTCTTTCTGTTCCCATAAGCGGAGAGCCACCCTGGGGCTCAGCTATCTGCCTGCCCATCAAGGACCCTGTGTTTGGCCTCTCACTCATGATTCCAGCTCGGTTCAGGGCTTGGCCTGTGGTCTATCTACCTCCCTCATAAGCCCTTCTGCTTCCATGGAGACACTCGCCATTGGCCTTTCCCACCTTTGCTCTGAGGGAGTCAGTCTTTGCTGGAGTAAATTGTAGAGCCATATAGTCCCACTGCAAATCTACACCAGCCTGATCTCAACCAGCACCTCTGTGCTAATGAGCCATGATCTTATTCCTTTCTAATTGAACCCTTCTCCATTTCCCACAGTGCCTGGTTCACGCTTTGCCCTTCTTCCCAAGTAATGAGTCCCACCCTACTTCTATTCTCTTTGGATGACCTGTTTTCTACCTGACTGAGAAGACCAAGGCTGTGGAGGCCTCTCAGCATCCCCTGCTGCTCTGCATCTTCACCTTCTCCTCATCCCCTCCTGGCTAAGAGACAAAGCCTGCCTGCTCCTCTCTGGAGCACATCCTGTGTTCTTCATCCACCCCTTGGCGTTGCCTGGAATCTCATTCCATCAATATAGCCTCTATTTTTTGTTCACACTTTTGAACAAAATTTATGTATGTATTCACCATTCATGATATACAATGAACCCTGCAGGCACATTTGCAGTAACTGTGGCAAACTGTGCCTGCTTCCATAGACATACAGGTGCATGGGAGCATGTGGCAGGAGTTCCACCCATCAGGAGGGTCAGGAGGCTTCCCAGGAAACACCGACCCAACTGCACTGAAACTGTGATTGTCACAGTCCTTGGTGGCCATCTGTCCTGGGTGACTCTCATCTTTGACTCAGACCCTCTGTAGCATTTTTTGGAAATGACTTGGGGGCTGTCATTCTTTCTCTGTTGTTCTCTTTGTAATTCTCTGCTTAGCATCCCCATTTCTAAACATTTAATGGCCCAGGTCCTAGTCCCCAGACGTCTTCTCTTTTCTACTCACTTCCTCACTGATCTCATTCCGTCCTGTGACTTAAATGGGCAGGAGACCCACAGATGTATGTCTTTAGCCAGGACCTGCCCTCGAACTCCAGCTTCCTTTTGGACATCTCCACTAGTTCATTTAGAGATGGATTTGAATATATCACAGATTGTATAATTGTATGTAACGTATTTTTTAAAGCCAAAACGAGCTCATATCATACGTCTGTTGTGCATCTGCTTTTCACTTAATGTTTCACTGAAGCGTCTTCCCATGCCAGTGCAGTGGATCCAGCTTACCGATTCCATTGTATCACATTCCATCCTGCGAATGTACTGTAACGTCTTTACCAATTCCCTGCCCATGGATATTTAGATGGTCTCCAGTGTTTGGCTGTGATGAATTCAAAAACAGCTGTAATGAGTCTCCTCATACATGTGTCTTCATGCACTTATATGAGTATTTTTGAGGAATAAATTTCTAGAAGTGGTATTCTGTAGAGTATTATCTTTTTAATTTTTTTTCTTTTAATTTTTATTAGGGATACATGTGCAGGTTTGTCATATGAGTAAACTTGTGTCATGGGGGTTTGGTTTAAACTTTTTTTTTTTTTTTTTTTTTAACAAAAGTAATTTGCTTTTCACTTGACAAATTATCATGAACCTTATTCTATGTCCAATACAAGCACCAGACACAGTCTCTGGGTCTCCTCTCAGTGCAGGGGAGAGTGGTGTCATCCAGTTAAGAGTTCTGTCCCCAGCCCAGCACACCTGACATGATGCTCAACAATTGCTACTGTCAAAGAGAATTATCTGGATGACTTGAAGTGTCTTTCCAGTTATAAAGCTCAACCAGGCCACCAGGGTGTCCTCAGCCAGGTGCACACAGAAGTGATACAGAAGGAAGTCTTAGTTACAGGAGGGAGGCCAGAGTTGAGAGACACAGAACCAGCCTCGACATCCCAACCAGAGGAGATGAGTCTTGTTCTTGGTGAGTCAACACATGAAAAGGGGGTTAATTAAACCATCTTACTGGGCCTGGGGGTATAGCTCAGGGGTAGAGCATTTGACTGCAGATCAAGAGGTCCCTGGTTCAAATCCAGGTGCCCCCTACCCTGGTTTACTTTTAATCACCAAAGTGGGTACTGGGTTACAAGCTCCTCCCAATCCACCATGGGGAAAAATGACACAGTCTATCAAATCTCTACCACAGCATCTCTGAATTGCACACTCAATTAGTCCTCAGGTGATTTTATAAACTTTAGTTTGTAAGGCACAGACCACTGCCTCCTCCAACCTTCTGGGTACCACTCCAGCACTTGTGCCGAGTTGTTCAGAATCTACCCATTAAGATCCATGTGATCCCTGAGAGTGGGCTGGGCCATGTCTCTAAGTCCTGCTATATTTCCCACAGGACCCAGCTGGGGCTGTGGCACAGGAGTACCTAAACCAGTGGCAGCCTCATGCCCATCTCCAATAGACATGAGAAATCTAATGAGCTTAGATTACTGGGCTCAGAGTGCCGCACCCTGGACTTTTGGCTCTGTGTCCCCAGGTTCTGAAGTTCTCACCTAGGACTGCTGCAGACCCACACCCTGGACTACCCAGACTATGGACCAGAGGAGAGCAGGATTCTGGGAGGCTCTAGGAGACTAAGGGCAAGGAGCAAGATGATGGAGGAAGTTTGCTGGGGCTTAGCAGAGAACTAAACTGACCCCCCCATCAGCCTCTTTTCTCTCCTCCATGCAGACAGATACAGATCATGGGCCCAGCAAGGGAAAGGAAGCTGGAGTCAGATTCCAAAATCGGTAAGCAAAAATAAGAACAGGTAAAAAGCAACCCGACCGGAACCTTTTGGTCAGTCCTAAGACTCACCCCAGTATTATCTGATGAACACCTTGCAGTCTGTAGCCTTCTGGGTGAGAGCGGCACACCACGGACAGTAACTGCGGTCTCTCAAGCCCCCTCTGATGGTGGTGGTAGCTAAACAAAGCAAGATGCAGGATGTGGTCTTCCCTGGGATATTCTGATGCTCCCCAAAATACTGAACCTCCAGAAACTTCACAGATGCAGCAGACAACCAATAATCCCAAAATTATGTGGTATTTCCCATTCCACAATGCAGTTTCCAGGCATATGGCTGAAGGACCTATCAGGCGAATCTGGCAGGAAGATTCACAGGCCATCGCTGGGTATTTGGTAGAGCCCTTTGCTCAAGCTTAGCTTCTCCGCCATCACGGGAACTGGGGACTGGGTCAGAGGCCAGGAACCTGCATTGTGCTGGCCACGGCAGTAGCTCAGATCTACACATTAAGGGGACCAGGATGGGCTCCCCATTCTCAGGCCTAAAAACCTCACCACTGATGAGCCACAGCCAAGACCTGTGTGGCACAGACCATGAAGTAACACCCAAAGTTCATTTCGAGCTAAAGTATCACGCTGCTTGGCCTCTGACACCCTAGGATCATCCCAGCCCCACTGAAATCAGGCACTCGATTTCCACTGTCATGCCTCCCGCCAGCATCTCTGTCTACAGAGAACAGCTACCAGAATTCTTTTCAAGAATGTAGAACCTCCACACACCTATGTGTTGTTCAAGCCAGGGCAAGTCACGTGTGGTAAATTCACTCCAGCTTACCCACCCCCTCAAGCCCATGGATTCTTTCTACATTACAGCAAGAAATCCCGAGCATCTCAAATACATTTGGAATTGGCCTCCTGTGAATCCAGGCTTAGGTCCACCAACTGAGCAAACAGGTTTATCCCAGCTGCTCCAGCTATGGTATCTTAAATAGAACTTTAATTGGGCACACTCCAAATAAAAAATTCAGATTCATTTAAAATTATATGGTTTCTACTTTATAAAATACTCCAAGAACCCATATTCACACATGCTCTTGAGGATTTTGCTGACATACATTAGCCAGTTGGAAATGATTTTGGTGTGTGAGTCTTCACCTCCCAGCAACTGGTGCCCAGGCTCAGCTGAGATCTTACTCTCACCGTAGGTCGGGGCCAATGAGGGGTGGGGAAACCTTTTCCATTTCGGGTGAGCAGCTTTCAGGTGGGAAGAAAGGGCAGGCTTGAAGATTAGGTAGAGTTGGTGATTTGGGATAAACCGAGTTTTCCAAATGCTCCCATAAATGCACGTTATAATTCCTGAAGTTCTACTTTCACTCACTCACCTGTTTTCAGCTAGGAGACTGGGGGATGCCGCAGATTCCATGGACATCAAAGTTTGGCACCCACAGGGATCAGCCTTGGCTCTCATTTTCAGCTGTTTCACTTACTCAGTGGCAGGAGATCAGACAGTTCTGTGATACAGACAGAAGGCCTGTGTTTCAGTCTATGTGGAACAGATCATACACGGCAACACGTGAGCTGTTTGCCTTCTTTAAACTGGTAGGACCAGCCATCTTTCCCAGAGGCCACTCATAATCTGGGAACCACAAACTGGTCCTGATGGGACTGCAGATAAAGGTTGCTCAACTTTTCTACAGTCTGATATGGGCTTCTGCATTTCTATCCCCGCAAACTAACTAGTCTTCGTTATCTTCAGGTTTAAAGAAGGCACATTTCCAATCAACACTGCCTTCGTTTTTCTGAAATCACTTGTTAGGCATCCCTGGTATCAGCCAGCCAGGGTACTTTGATTAAAGAAGAGGCCATCTAAGGTGAGTGGAGGCAGAGAGGGCAATCACTGACAGGATGGCGAGAACCTCCTGCACTTCATGGAAGACTGCAGAGCAAGGCTCATTGAATTGGAAGTCCTCAGTCTAGCTGGGCTAGGAAGCTGCCACTGCCATCACGATGAATGCTGGTTTCAACTCTCTGCTCTTCTCCCCGCTCATTTACTTTTCCTTGGCTTTGAAAGGGAAACACTTTACCAGAGGGGTCCTAGCCCCATGCCGGCTCCAAACTATTAGCTCAGCACAAGTGGAAGAGCCAGGACCAGGCACAAAGGCTGGCTGTATGAGCCTCGAAGCTCGGTCCTCCAATATTCCCGGCATTAGAATCAAGATCTCTGCCTCTGTGGACCTTTCCCCTGGAAGTTACTACTGTAAGGCCGAAAGACCACACAGATCCTGAGGATGCAGAGAAAGTTAAATCACCTGAAAGGACATAGCAGATGGAGGCAAGGAACTGTGGGAGTGATGCCAGTGAGACAGAAGCCGAACACTCACTGGGACTGCAAAGAATCATCAGGGCACAATGGAGTGTTTTATTCTTGGAGCAACAGTTTACTTAGTTGTTTAGATTAGCAAGGAAATATACTTCTAATATAACTACTAGTAATTTAACTTCTTCAAATCTCTCTAATGTGCCTCACAGAATTTAAGAATATAATATATAATTAAGAATATAGGTTTGGCCGGGCGCTGTGGCACACGCCTACAATCCCAGCACTTTGGGAGGCCGAGGCGGGTAGATCACGAGGTCAAAAGATCGAGACCATCCTGGTCAACAAGGTGAAACCCTGTCTCTACTGAATATACAAAAATTAGCTGGGCATGGTGGTGTGCGCCTGTAATCCCAGCTACTTGGGAGGCTGAGGCAGGAGAATTGCTTGAACTCAGAAGGCGGAGGTTGCCGTGAGCCAAGATCGTGCCATTGCACTCCAGTCTGGGTAATAATAGTGAAACTCCGTCTCAAAAAAAAATATATAGGATATAAAATGTTAAAAGATTAGTAAGTTAGGCAACACGAATAAGCATCAAGAAAAAAGTAAAATTGCTTAAACTGCCACAAGCTAAATGTATGTTGATATTTTGATGCCTGTTCATCCAAACTTATAGTTAAGAACCAAATCTCGCCTTTAACTGCTGTGGCCGCAGCCATGAGTATGCTCAGGCTTCAGAAGAGGCTCGCCTCTAGTGTCCTCTGCTGTGGCAAGAAGGTGGTCTGGTTAGACTCAAATAAGATCAATGAAATCCCCAATGCTAACTCCCGTCAGCAGATCCGGAAGCTAATCAAAGATGGGCTGATCATCCGCAAGCCTGTGCCGGTCCATTCCCGGGCTTGATGCCGGAAAAACACCCTGGCCCACCGGAAGGGCAGGCACATAGGCATAGGTAGGCATAAGGGTACAGCCAATGCCCGAATGCCAGAGAACGTCACATGGAGACGAGAACAAGAATTCTGTGCCGGCTGCTCAGAAGATGCTGGGAATCTAAGAAGATTGATCGCTGCATGTATCACAGCCTGTACCTGAAGGTGAAGGGGAATGTGTTCAAAAATAAGCGGATTCTCATGGAACACATCCACAAGCTGAAGGCAGACAAGGCAAGAAGCTCCTGGCTGACCAGGCTGAGGCCTGCAGGTGTAAGACCAAGGAAACACACAAGCACCAGGCCAGAAAATGAGGAGATCATCAAGACTTTGTCCAAGGAGGAAGAGACCAAGAAATAAAAGCTCCCCCTTTGTGTGTACATACTGGCCTCCATGATTACATAGGTCAGCCATTAAAATAAAACAAGCATGTTAAAAAAAAAGAACCCAACCTCTTCTTGGGAGAAAAGTTAGGCTAATCACCAGCTGCTTGGTGGCTTCCTATCAGGCTCCCTATCTCTTTGTCCTCCTGTATTTACTTAGAAATAATCCTCCTCCTTTCCTACAAATAAAAAAGGAAATAGAAGCTAAGGAATTCCGTTTTATCCATAATCTGACCTTTTCACTTGTTGCTCTCTTAATTCTACCCAAAATAACTCTTAAAACCATGTTTCCGTAATTTTGTTGCAGGTAAGGTGGAGCTTGTGGCATGCCAAGGAGAGCTGGAAAAGCCAGCCAGAAAAGGCAATTCATATTTTAAAAAGCATCAGAGAGCTGCAGAAGCAGCAAGGACTAGAAGAACTAGAATTCCAGAGAGGAGAGAACCTCTGGGACATGAGTTGAGGGACTGCAGCCACATTTTACCTGGGGACATTTTCCGATCTTGGGCGCAGGCTGATGATCTGTCTTAGCTCCCAGTACAGGCTGGTTGCTGGGGGACTGAGAACCCAGTGAAATCTGGTGGTCACTCAAGGTAGCTATGACAAGACTGTAGATTTGCGGGACACCAAACACATAGCTGGTTTTTACCTCTAGACTTTTTAGAATTCTGAAACTATGTGGGGCAAGAGGTTATAAAATTAAGGAAAATCTCTGGGGAAAAAACAGAACAGAATTCCCAATAATTTCATGGTTCTAAGAAGATGAAAATTCACTGGATAAAGGAAGGGGAAAGAGCACACTAGGATGAGTGAAAGCCCTGAAGCAAGTAGTGAATTGACACGGAGGATCTGCAGCCACTGTTTCTCTGGGATACTTGCCAATTCTAAGCCCAGCTAGTGGCTGAGCTGCCAGTGTTGGCACCAGCACACAGGTGTCAGGAACACCAAAGGAGCTTTTGGCAGTTGCGCGATGCTGGAGTATAAAACAAAGACTTTGGAGTCCTCAAATACACAGCTGGTTTCACCCCTCAAGAAAACTGCTGAGTTGTGAAGCTCTAAGAAGCAAGAAGCTAGAAATCTAAGTCCAAACTATCTAAAAAGAAGAGCAGACTTTTTGAGGGTTGAAGAGACCAAGACCTGCCAGGTTTTCTATTACAAACCTGGAAGGGTCGCACTCAAAAAGTGGGACAAGTCACAGACAGAAGGAGCATTACCAAACTTGCATTTTCATTTTTCTTAGCAGGAAAGAGTGCTTATTTCCTTATTGGTTTAAGATCACCAGCCCTCCACTCTACCTTCTTTCAAGAAAAAAATTTAAAAAGGAGAGTGAATTTTGTTTAGTGGATTATAATTGTACCTAGAAGCTTTATTCTTTTAATACACAAAGTCTGACATTCAATAAAGATTACTAGGTATACTAAGAGTCAGAGCAATATGAACAAAATCAAGAGAAAAAAGAAATAGTAAAAGCAAGTGATTTAGACATCACAGAATTTAAAATAGCTTTGACAACATATTCCAGAAATCAGAGAAATAGAGAAAATGTGGGAAAAAGTATGGAGAATTTCACATTAAAATTTGTAAGAATAAATCAAAAGGAAGTTCTAAAAACAAAAAGTATAGCCCTTAACATTAAAATTTTAACACGTGTTTAATAGAAACTTTAGATAACTATCTAAACTAAAGCACAGAAAGGTAAAGAATGGACAAAACAAAAGGAAGACAGGATACAAATGGCAAACAGTTTAAAGTTCTTAAGAGTTACTGAAATTCCAAAAGAAGGTAAGAAAGTGAATGAAGCAAAATCAAGATGTGAAAGGATGTAACTGACAAGCATTTCCCAAAACTAATGAAAAACATCAACCCACTTATTTAAGAAACTCTGTTAAACAAAAGGAGATACAAACAAAGACAACCATTAACACCGTCTCTAGAAGATGGGGGAGGGGACAAAAGCCCAAACAAACAAAACCAAAGAAAACCCTGCCTGCATTATATTATCATAAAACTGATTTCTAAAAAGAGAGAAAGAGAAATCTGAAAAGCAATCTTGGGGATGGGATGGGGGTGGGGCTGGGAAATCAAGTTTTAAAATTAACAGATGTCTTCTGAAAAGAATTATGGTACCCAGGTAACAATGGAAGAAAATTTTCACATGCTGAAAGGAATAACCCAACTAAGATTCTATGCAACAGTCATTATGTTAAATAATATATAAGAATTTAAAACTCCACTTAAAATATAAAATTTTCAGAATGAATGAGAAAACAAAACTACACTCTTAAGTTGCTTAGATAAAGCTTCCGTAAGTACAGGGTCACGTGAAGCAAAAAGTGACCTTAAGTACAGGGTCACATAAAGTGGAAAGACATCTGATACAAACAATGAATCAAAAAAGGCTGGTACAGCAATATTAATACAATGCAAAATAGATTTTAACTTGGCAAGCATTTCTACAGATAAAGGGAATATCCAAATGCACCCCAAACACAGTGTGAAAATAAATGAGACAAAAATGGATAGAACTAAAAGTAGAAATGGACAAATCCTCAATCAGTGGCAGATTTTAATACACCTTTCTCAGTAGCTAATAAAAGAGGCAAATAAAATATCAGTAAGCATGTGAAGAATCTGAATAACACAATCAACAAATACGACCTAATAGATAATAATGAACAGTGCACCATACAGTGGCACATTTCATCCTTTTAAGAGCACACAGAACATTTATCAATGTTAACTATACTTGGTGATGTAAAGTAAGTTGCCAGAAATTTGAAGATTGAGGATTGAAATCATGTTTTCTGACCATATTGTAGATGAATTAGGCTAAATTAAGGGGAAAAAAGATAACTAAGAAATTCCCAGCTTCTTGGAAGCTAAAC